AATCAATGAAAATAATTTTTAAAAAGCACTCCTGAGTCAGTATTAACTGCTACACTAAACTGTTATTATTTGAAGGAAGAAAATCAACACCTCAGACCTACAAAACCAAGGATTTCTTTTTTACAATCATCCAAAACTGTTTTTAAAAGTAGCTTTCATTCCCCTTCCAACTGTCCCCCTTCCCCTGTCATTCATATTAAAAGTTAATTTAAAAAATCTAAAAATTACTAAAGACTAATTTCTCTTTCATCAGATAAAACTTTGAAAGATTTAGATCTTTTTTCTTTAACTATAAGGCTACACAAATTACAAATATCCCCTTTCTATAATTATGCTTAAACTCAATACCAATAATCAATATTTTCTCATTACAAAGATTCAAATCCATTAAAAGCCTAGTGAAAATCTAATGCTGACAAAAGTTCTGGCGCTTTAAAGTCAAGTATCTTAATTGAGTGTGATACTTGGTAACTGATAAAAAACCTATAGATTTCCCAGAAGCTCTCTAGAGTTGTAGGGGATTCAGAGGTCTATTTGGTATCTAATACCAAGATTCTTTTTTTTGCTTTCTGTATCATATATATCCTCACCACCCTGAACTGCCCCAGAGATATGATGAGACTCAGAATAAGCTAGTGAATCAGTGCCTGTATTGCTGGTCTTCCTTTTTGGAAAAGATCAAAGAAATTCATTCTGGACTTCTGGTCTCCTCTTCCTTCCTTAGACCACCAGAGAATTAGTTATTCAGGAGATTTTCCAGGGCAAGTCTGCTGCTCAGGCAGGTATGACCAGTCTAGGGTTAAGGCAAGTCCTTAAAGTTCCCCCAAGATGGCACTTGTAGTCAAGTTCTAGCCTCTCTCTGTATCATTTAATTGGACATCATCTATCCCCGATCTGGGGATTTGAAGTATTTGGAAGCTTTGAAAACAGGGATGTGAAAGGGTGAGCAGGGAAGTGGGAAAGATTAAAATGACCCATTCATTTCTGAACCTACTGAATAATGGTCAAATACTCAAAGGAATAAAAATATAGATTCTGTTTTGATAGTATCTTGGGAATTAATGGTCAAATAAAAGACTTTTAATAACATATTCATGCATTCCTAACACTTTAAAAATACCTAATAATTAAAAAATTAGAAAATAACATGAAGGCATTCTTTTAAATTCTTATTCTTCCTAACGATTTTAAATCACACAAAAATTTTGCATATAACTTACCTCATCTCCTATAGTATGTTTCTACTCAGTGGAAAACTCCAAAAAAAAAAAAAAGATTTGCCCAAAACACAGATATCATTTATTATGTATTAGTGTTATAGCAGGTCATAATAATTGCATATTTTCTATTTTATGACCATACTGATGTCAGATATATGTGCTTTTTCAACTTTTAAGTATGTACCAAATTGATTTCATTTGCTGTGTGTTGCACAGAGAGGGGTATTGAGTGAATGAACACTAATAAATAAACCACTGATAATCAGTAATTTGCTATTCCACCAGCAATTAACAACTTAGTACCTCAGTTTTCCAAAATTATCGCCCTGCCACATATCTCACCATATCCCTCTTTTTGTAAGGCTTTTTGGGTTCCGTGTACAGATGCACCCAAGGAACTTGAAGAAGGGGATTTGCTCTGAATACACCCATGCTCCTTGAATGGGAGCTGGAAAGGGCCCTGTGCAGGCCCAGAGACCCACTGTTCTCTCTTCCTCCCTGGGTCCTGTGGTCTCTCTCATGTTCAGCTCCAGGGTCTCTCTGCACATTCGTTTGCCTTTCTTCACCAACTTGCTTCCTCTGACTTCTCAAGCTCTGCCCCACTCCACAACTTTGGTTCATCACCATGATTTCTTTGGCTTGCAGGCAGCAGTCCTGGATGACATTTCAGCAGGAGATTCTATGATAATCTAGCAAATTTACTAATTCTTAGTTCAAACCTCCTGAGAATACGGCTCATCCAGCTCATCTTTTCAATCTATATGCACAGTATCTAATTCATAGACCACACCTTTGTTGTACACTCCAATCAGTCTCTAGAGTTATTCCTAGCCTCCTGTTTTAAAGCTCCCTAACTGATTCTGGTAGAGACTGGGCTGAGATCAACTGAGGCGACCTACCTGTGGCTGAATGTCCTTGAGGCCAGTACCTCACATGAGGCTACCGTGGATTACGTGTACAAAACATAACCAGGGCTAGAGTGGTACATTAGTTTCCTATGGCCACTGTATCAAATTGCCACCGGTTTAGTGGCCTACACCAACACAAATGTATTATCTCACAGTTCCAGAGATCAGAAGTCTGCAATCGAGGTGTTGGCAGAGCTGTGTTCCTCCTGGAGGCTCTAGGGGAGAATCCAGTTTCCAGAAGCTGCCTGCATTCCTTGGCTTGTGGCCTCTTCTTCTATCTCAAAGCCAGCAAGAGACAATTGAGTCTTTCTCACATCAGAAAGATTCTTTTACTTCCTTCTTCCACATTTAAAGGACTCCTCTGATGACACTGGGACCATCTGAAGAATCTAGGATCACCTTCTCTTAAGGTTAGTTGACTAGCAACCTTAATTCCCCCATGCCAAGCCCCAAAGACTACCTGCATATCTGAGGTTTCAGGGTTAAGCAGTGGACCTCTTTGGGGGGGCTGTTATTATCACGCTTACCACAGACTATGTGAAACAAAACAGACTATGTGATTAGTTTCACTTACAAGAGATGGTGGCCAGGTGGGCACCATCAACACAGCTAACACTGAACTGAGTATTACAGCATGACATACAGCTCAACCAACGAAGCAGTTCATGTGAATTTTCATCACTTATTCTGTATGTCAACAGACATTTCAGCATTAAGAACAGGAGACTAAAGCATACTTACAAAAATATATAAATACAAACAAATATTTTACACTCAATAATTTGCAAGGTATCTTTCTGTAATTATACAAATTTATACATTTTATCAACAACCACTACCAAAAGTCATCTGTAATTAGTTTAGATTCCAGAAGAAATCTGTTGTAAAATACATTTAAGTAACTTCCAAATTACTTTTCACTTTGCCAATGATTATAGATATATTAAAGCCATCATAAACAAATCAACAAACAATAAGTGCTGGCGAGGTTGTGGAGAAAAGGGAATCCTAGTGCACTGTTGGTGGGAATGCAGACTGGTACAGCCACTGTGGAAAACAGTATGGAATTTCCTCAGAAAACTAAAAATGGAACTGCCTTTTGACCCAGCAATCCCATGGCTAGGGTTATACCCTAAGAGCCCTGAAACACTAATTCAGAAGAACCTATGCACCCCAATGTTCACAGAAGCAAAATTTATAATAGCCGAGTGCTGGAAGCAACCTAAGTGCCCCATCAGCAAATGAGTGGATCAAAAAACTATGGTACATTTACACAATGGAATACTATGCAGCAGAAAGAAAGAAAGGAAGGAAGGAAGGAAGGAAGGAAGGAAGGAAGGAAGGAAGGAAGGAAGGAAGGAAGGAAGGAAGGAAGGAAGGAAGGAAGGAAGGAAGGAAGGAAGGAAGGAAGGAAGGAAGGAAGGAAGGAAGAAAGAAAGAAAGAAAGAAAGAAAGAAAGAAAGAAAGAAAGAAAGAAAGAAAGAAGGAGCTCCTACCCTTAGTGGCAGCATGGATGGAACCAGAGAGCATTATGCTGAGTGAAATAAGCCAGGTGGTGAAAGATAAATACTACGTATCACCTATAAGTAGAACCTAATCAACAAAACAAACAAGCGAGCAAAATAGAACCAGAGACATTGAAATAAAGAGCAAACTGACAGTAACCAGAGGGGAGGGAGAAGGAGGATAATGGGGGAAAGAAGAGAAAGGGTCATCAAGGAACATGTATAAAGGACCAGTGAACAAAGCCAAAGGGAGGAAGAATTGAGGGTAGAAGGTGGGGGTGGGTGGGGTGGGGGAAAGTGGTAGAGAGAAAATAGAGACAACTGTACTTGAACAATAAAAAATAAATAAAATGAAATAAAATTAATGAGTAATAATACAGTATAATTCTTTAAAATACTACTTATCTATCCATACTGTTTCTTCCTAAAAATAAAAGAAGTATTGTTTTTTAGGAAACATTCCCTGTGCCTGAGCCTACCACAATGTGAGATTTCATGGAGGATTTTCTAGTTATTAACAGAGTTTTTGAAAAACGTAACTCTGAAAACCTGTCACCCAAAATGCAGTGTCCACCAGCTAAACCAAAAAAGAGTGGGATGAAGTGAGAAAACAAGATGATATAAATGTAAAAGTTGGGGGGGAAACATTGCAACTTTAAAGAGCTTTGAAGGAAAAAGCATTTAAGTCCTAAAACATAGAATAGTCCTTGGGTATTTCATGTGAACATTAAAAATTAAAACAACAGAAAGGCTTTTTTTCCTCGTATTTGCTTATATTTATATAACCTAGGTATCTGATGTGTATATATGTAACAATCACATTTGACTTCCATTTGGAAGTCAGTAGCTGCATTTTAACTTTCAGTAGGTTAAAATTAGCAAATCTTAATGACTTTTTGGATTTATTCTTTGATTAATTTGTAATATTACTCAATCAGCAAATATTTATTGAGTATCTGCTTTGGGCCAGGCATATTACAGGTGTTAACTAGTTCTCAATTTATTATATTTTAAATAAAACTGTTCTGTCCAAGTTTAATGAGATACTTCAAAATAATGTTAAAAAACTAATTATCCTAACTTTAATAAGTTTTAAAAAATTATGTAACACTGCTTCATACCAACTCATTTGGTCTCATCTAATAATTTGTGAATTGGTCTATTATAACTTTATGTCTTCATCACATAAAGTTTGTGTCACGAGACCAGAGAGGGTGACAGTTAATTTCACACAGAGACGTGTAGGCTGCAGTCCCATCTTAGGACAAGCGCAAAACTACTGAATTGAAATCTATTTGCTAATATTGAAATTAATAAAATGCCATTAGTAATCAGAAAAAAATTGTTCGAGAAATGAGATGACTTACTCAGACTGCTTAACTGGCGTATAATAGCAGCAAGGGTACTGTTGGTTACACATTCAAGTTCGCTGGTAATCCCTTCGGGCAGGGCACCCCGGCACAGATGCCGGGGTTCGATGTTCCTCTTCACTAAAGGCATGGCTCAAAATCTGAAAATTAAACAAACATTTTTTTAAAAAGCTCCACGTACATTTTAACAAATCAAGTTTTTATTCCCTTGAAAATTGACTCTCTTTAGTCCTGCTGGTGTGGCTCAGTGGATTGAGCACCAGCCTGGGAACCAAAGGGTCACCAGTTTGATTTCCAGTCAGGGCACATGCCCAGGTTGCCAACCAGGTCCCCAGTAGGGGGCGCATGAGAGGTAACCACACATTGATGTTTCTCTCCCTCTCTTTCTTCTTCCCTTCCCCTCTCTCGAAAAATAAATAAGTAAATTTAAAAAAACAAGAAAATTAATTCTTTCCTAGGAATTTTCATTATCCTGACATTTCTACATGAAAGAATCAGTTAAATACGCAAAAGGTATATAGAGTATCAAATCTACTCATGCAACAAATCTTCTCATACCACGGTCGAAAATTCAGTGACTGTCATTTTGTCAAGATTGTCATATTGCCCAATTTGCAGGAGCAGAAACACAGAGAAAAGCCTAGGACTTTGGTGACATCTGTTAGTAATCAAACCAGCCCAAATGCCCACCTGGAATTCTTGTTGTGTGAGAAAGTAATGTCATATCTGGTTAAGCCACTGCAGCTGGGCTGTCTGTACCTTGGTGTAAAACTTATTTTCACCTGGTACAGTAACAGAATGGTCTACTATACCTAAAGAGCCAGATGCGGTCAGTATATAATCCATCTTTGCTTTTCTTCCACCTCTTCTCATACCTTTGTTCATGCATCTAAGAAATACTTTTTGAGGACCTGTCATTCCCCGCAGCATGTGAGGTGATGAGGACCCAATGTTGAGTGAAAACAGACAAAGCACCCCAATGGAACTTTAGTGAGGAAGTGAGACATTTATCCAACCACACAGGTTAATGGTGGGGTGGGGTTCTGAAACTGTGTGGGAGTGGAGTGCTGGCATCTCTGATGAACCATGGGCGGCCTCCCTGTGTAGGTGACAGACTGAAATCTGAAGGGTGAGAAAGGGCTAAATCACAAAGGGCCCTGTGGCAGAGGCGGTATGGAAAATGATGCAGGAGAGAGCAAAAGTGGTGCCAGATATATTGTGCAGTTTTCATTGACTGCCTCATGCCCATTAACATGGTGGCTGAACACAATGACCATATCCGGATATTCAAATACTACTGCATCTATTGTCTCAGGTGCATTGCCTACAGCACGTCACTTCCTGTGCTTCAGTTTCCTTCCTGTATCTACCTCACGGAGTAGGGAGTTACTGAGTTACCACGTCCATAATTACTTGGAACAGTGCGTGGAACATAGTAACACTCAAAATTATAACCAATAATATTAATTTTAATATATGTTACATTGTTATAATGTGAATTATTATTGTGATTATGGGAATAAAAAAAGAGCAGTTGACTCGTTGAGGATAAAACTGAATCATGAAAAACAACACTGTTGACATTAAAATTATGTAAAAGAAGCGGCACACACAGAGGAAGGAATGCTGTAACATGCAAGTTCCAAATACATGTCCCTGGGCCAAAGTGTAAGATTTACTGTGAGTTGTCACTCTTTCTTGGAGAATCAATTAGAATATGTATTAGGATGATAACTAATCACAATACAATAAACCAGAATTCGTGAGAAAAAAAGAAAATCATTAATAAACCTAATAAAAGCATAAAGGGTGGGAAAGGAAAATACTGAAAGCTGATCAGCAGGGACTCGTTCCATGAAAACTAGAAGGAAATCAAGCAACAAAACCACAATGTCCATAAGGAAGCACAGAGCAACAGCAGAGGGGCACACTTGAAGATGGCACAGAGAAGCTAGTAAACGGACAGACCGCAGGGCCCTGAATTCATCAGCAGTGTGCTTGGAACACTGCTTTGTGAGATGGGCATAATAAGCATGAATTAGCTTTTAAGTAATTTCTCAACAGAGTTTTTTTTTTAACAGTTTGGGATAAACATGAGATTTAGGAGCTGAATGCTGATTGCGTATATACTATTCCCCCTATCCACATTTATTTTGTCCAGGATGTAATGCCACCCTTTCCCCTTAATTTTAATCTTTGACATGCCCAGAAACATGCCAGCACAGCACCTCCCAGCCTACCACCCACATTTCTTTATACTCAGAATTATTCAGATAGATAGAATCTATTATGCACATACACACACAGGTCCCACCAGCGTGTCCAAAATACATCCGAAGCTAGTAACTACCTTCTCCCCTCCCCTTGACTGTCATTATGGCACACCCGGGAACTAGCACAGGCTGGTTTCCACTCTGGGAATCTAGAAAACGTTTACAGAATTTTCCTAATGCTCTTGGTTAGAAGTGCCTGCAGCTTGCTCTGATGCCCAGCCTAACCCCTGCCAAAGGCCCTCACTTACCTATTTGACGTCTCCTTCCTATGCCACAGCTGATCATATGCTAAGAACAGCGATGCTCCATGCATTTGTGGCAAACCTTGCTGACAGTACTAACCTGGAGACTTGCTTAAGATGTCATATGAGAACAAAAGGAAAAGCTTAATTCTATAAAGATGTATGAAGCATGTCTACCTTTTAGATTCTGATGCTTTCACATCTGAGGCCCTGCTGACCCTGCAGGGGCTGCCACTCTTGGGACTAGCCAATCCCAGGAGCTAGTAAACAACTCACAAGAGCTGGCTTTTCATATGCAAACCTACCAGTTTGGAGCCCACAGAATTCTCACACTCAGGACCACTATCCCCATACCTAATCATGCAGGACCAGGTACCAGACAACAAGAGACAACACCATGCCTGCTGAAATTATTCAAGCCAGCTGGTCCTAAACCTGCTTAACCTCCCTCACTTATTCTTCATGCCCTAGTCGTAGTCCCCACCTCCCACCTCAAAGTACTGGCAACCTCGTGCTTCGTCATGTGCCCTACATACACATATCTATTCAGCGCAGCCTTCACCTGGGCACTTTGCCTGCTGTGGTATTTCAGCTATGGCTAACTAAGCCTAGCCTTCATTTCTTGCTATCACGATACCTTTATTCGGAGCTCCCACACTTGCCAATATACAGAGAGAGGACAAGCTACTGTCTTTACAATTTTAGAAGAAGGATCTCATAGCTCCTTTTAAAAGTTCTAATTACCTAATAATGGCACTTATGGCTTTCTGATTGTGTGTAGTACTCTTAACAGATGTATTTTTTCCATTAAAGCCTTTATTTCAATTTGATACTAATCTGAATAAATTGAACAGCAAAGAATAGCTAGAGGAGAAAATGTTGGGTCAGTCATTACTCTTGAGAAGGCTTTGCAGAAACAAAAACAAACATGTAATAAACTAACCCAAACAGCCACCAATGACAAGTACGCCTCTCAATTACTTCACTAGAAGACCTGTGACCCATCTACATCCTTCTCTGAAGCCATTCCACAGATGCTTAAGGATGATTAGCAGTTATATAAGGTGTTACTGTTAAAACCTATAGTCTGTACAACTTTTCTGGGAAATGTTTCACTTTAGAGACACACAACCTGGTTCACATAACTATGAACTAGATTCCAGACAGCCAAAACCAGGCCACTCCTTCCCTAGGAATTTGAAAGTGGGGCCATGACATCAGCCTGGCTGCCGCTCTCCTGATCCGCAGAGTGGTGGTTCTCCTACCACATGAAACAGAGGCTGACCAAGTCAGTCAGAGCGCAAAACCAGAAGGAAATAACTGAAACCGGCACAGAGGAGAGGAAGACAAGGACTCCGCGGTGCCCTTGCCCAGTCTCCCTCAGACCGCACCATGGACTAGAACCTCCTCCCCTCTCCCCTTCATCAAGGGTCAGACTTGGGTCACGGTTTGATGGCTCTTCCAGCCTTTTCAAGCTATTTCCTTTCACACAGGCATTCCCCTAATCAAATCTTTGTAGGTGTAATCCACCTCAGTGTGTTTCTCAAAGGACCCAGACTAATTCAGGCGGCAAGGAGCGCTGCAACAATACAGGTTGTAAGATGGGACTCAGACTTGCTCTGTACCACTCCATGGGTCGACATGGATGCCATCCTAAACACAGGCAATGAACGGATAATCCTGTCACAAGGTCATGTTCAACTGTCAAAGACTTCACTGTTAAGTGACTTGGAATATGTCCTGGTGGAGGGAAATGCCGTGACATGCATAATAGTGCAGGCACTCGGACAACACATGAAGAAAAACACCTACAGAGACAGCAGAGCTAGCTCATTACTGCTAGGTGGCACAAGATAGTGAGGCACTGGAAGCTATTAACAGTTCATAGCTAAGTGTGAGAAACTCAGAGCCCTCTTGCTGGATACAAAGTGGTCCTCATCATGCCCTGCAATGGAAGTGTAGGCTGAGGACCCAATCATGAGAGTTACAGAATTCAGGACATTTGAATGTTCAGTCAAAGCAGGACTCTCAATATCCCAGGCCACAGCAAAGAAAACCTGCAATCCTGAAAACTGGATCAGGGACTTTCGGTGGGCACTGGTGGTGACGGTGATCCAAACACCTCCCACCGCCATGCCAGGGAGTAGGACGTTGACCTCACACCTCTGAAGTGGTCAGCACACTAGTGAGCTGGAATATGCTGCAGAGGCCTCTCTCCACGAGTCAGTTCTAGCTGCACAAATCTCTTCCCAGATGCCTTGTTGATAACTAGTTCCGGACCTGATGAAGCAGGCAAGAGACTGACATCATGATGACTTCATGGAAGGGGCAAGAGGTGGGCACCTAACACACTGGAGGCCTAGGTAAGGCACATGCTCCTTGGTGTGGGAGATAAACCCTGTGATGATGCAGAATCTGGCAACAATAGTGAAGTCTGTAGGGGCCTAGTGGTCAGAGGGATGCTGGGATATCCCCTCCTAAGTAAAAACATATCTTGCACCCACCACCATGAAGAAAGAAGCATAGTGCCTGTTAGGTGCAATCCTAGGACACTGCTCTGGCCCACAGACATGGTTATACAGTAAACTGGCAATTATACTTTGCAGCACAACAAAAACAACATAT